ACTCAAATGATACATTTGAGTAACTTTGAGTAACATTTGAGTAACTTATGCATGCTTATAACATAAAACGCTTTTGTTGCACGAAAAATTTGTAGTTGCCAATCAAACACTTTGAGTGAAACATGTTTGAATGAAAAGACTAAACTTAGAAACTTGTTTTGAAATCAAAGAATGTCGTTAAACGACAAAAGTTTAGCAGGAGCAGCAGATTTGGCCTTCTCACTTTTCAGCTCAACTTTGAGATCCCACAAAGTCAGCTCCAGATTCTTGATGCGTTCCTCCAACTCTCCGACCGGAGAACCTTCAGCCAGTGCATTCTTCCTCTCCAAGGAAACCTCCTCAAGCTTTGTCTTTAACCAATCCAGCTTGAAGCCCACTTCTGTTAGCTCGTTCAACTCGCTCTGAGCGTTATTTAGCTCAGCCTAAGAAAAGCTCTGAGGCGGCTTGCGCAGTTTCTCGATGAGACAAAGGAGAAGATTCATGTATGCTGCCTTCACTCCTTTGGCCTTTGGTCTGAAATCTACTGCAATGTCCGGGTGCTTGGTGAAAAGCGAGCATACAGAAGCAACCTGTCAACAAGAAAATGTATTAGATGGAAATTATATTTTCAACAAGATTCGGTTAACCGGAAAATGAAGAAAAAGAAGGGAAATGGGGAAGCCTCCTTAACATACCTGAGTAAAAAGAACCTCGAATCCTCTGGTTTCAAACATCTCATTCTCAGTTGTTTTTCCTTGATGAACAACTTCAAGGACTTTTACATGGACTTTAAGGACCAGTTTGTTATTCTCCAAAAACCCTTCTTCTTTAAGCTTGCTAAAGGGCAAAGTACTATGACCCCATGATGAGAACTGAGCGCAAAATAAGCTTGATGTTTTTGCAAGCCAAAACATAACACTACAAAAAAACAGCCACTTTTCCGACGGGCGAGATTTCCGTCGGAATTTTCCGACGGTTTACCGACGGTTTTGCGACCAAAATTAAACCGTCGGTAATCCGTCGGTTAATTCCGACGGAATACCGACGATAGATAAAACCGTC